AATTAGGCTGACAGCGCATCCGAAGGGCTGGGCGGCGCGCAGGCGTCAAAGACTGCGCCTCTGACGTTTAAACAGTTGGAGCCAAGCGCCGAGCTTTCTTGCAAGTGAAGTAGCTTGCTGGCTAGCAAATTCACTTGACAGCCAGTGATTTCTTAGACCTGCGCTCTTAGCTGAGACCGTCTAGACTGCCTTCAGGTAGTTCCGACTACTCGGGTCGTGTTCCAAAACTTGTGCATCTTGGCTCGAGTCAAATTTTCCATGCTTGCTACAATGCGGGCCAGAATCTTCCCAGGTAGACAGTCAGGTAAACTTCTGAGCTTGAACAGCGAAGTTAGAGTGGTTTTGCATGTTGCGAAGATTTTAGAACAAGTCTAAGCCCGAATTGCACGCGCGGAACAGAATTGCCAACATTGAAAACGATCCAGCCGCTGCTTGTGGGCGTTTCAGACTGATAGGGCTGCTGCTGGGGCAACTTTGGACGGCGTATGGGATCTTCACAGCTTGGGAACTTTGATTGCTTGCCACTTCAGCAGCGTCTTCATCTAGCTGGCCATGTTAAAGCCACCAACTCTGACCTTGCGAAAGGTGGAACTTGGGGCCAGGGGGCAACGAGGTCGGTCAGGACACTACCTGAGGGTCCTCTCAAGCAAGCTTGCAGGCTACTGCAATTGGACGACACGATGTCTTCTACACAATGTCCTTGAGACTGAACACAGTTTGCAAACGCAGGCTAAGCACCCTGTGCAGGATGCCTTGCGTCGTCAATACCCTTCACATGCAGCTGGCCAACTGGATCAGAACACTTCCGCTCCCATATCTGTGTTGATACAGCTTTAGCCTTCTCCACGATCACAGACTTCTTTGCATGCATTCTGGCGATCCCAGACTGAATGCCAGTATGTTAAGCATCTTTCTCCCGACATCCTGCTTTGGTGGCCGGCTCTGTTGGCTAAAGATTCATTACACCCGTGCGCTGGGCCAAGCCCCCCTAAAGGCTCTACAGGACTCTACAGCAGCAATCCTTTTCGAAGGGCAATCTTGCTGAAGCCCCCACTTTGAACGCCATGGCTCAGGCCCAGGCCTCAGATCTGTGGGAATGCGAAGCCTGGCAAGGCATGAGGGTGTTTGCTCAATCTGAAGTTTTCCTGAAGACAAGGGCAAGGGGACTATACGTCAGGCAGCTTCACCTGCAGATGAAAGGACCATGCAGCTAATCACTGCGACCACTTCACAGGGGATTCTCGCGGCAAATCCAGGGCCCCTTGAGTGGCTAGCTGGAGAGTGTAAAGGGTCGACTGCTGCGATACCTGAAGCTTTTGCCAGGGCACTTTCACGAAAGGGCCTCCGGCGTCACCGGTCAAAGCTCTGCCCAACGAGTACTGGATTGGACCCCTATCATCTTCCTTCTACCATTACCTAGACTACTACCTGTATTCCTCTCCTCCCCCACTCCCCCTTAGTAGTACTAAGTTAATAAACATGTCCACACCAAGACTTGTGAGTCCATGCAGGGAATACCTACCAAAAAATGAGACAATACCTGGAATCCATATGTAAACCCTACATCCACAGACAAATACTCTACAGCCCCTACAATCCCAAAGCCAGAGATCCATAATGGTCCTACATGTGCAGTTCAGCACCGCCTGGAACGGAGAGCACGAAGCCCGTGAGGACGAGAAGGATTGCCACAACCTAAACCAACTTTGGTATTTGTCACGATGGGGGGCAAACATTAAGCTGCGACAGATGACTATTGTAAGGGCATGATCGCGCTTCTATGAATGTTTAGGTGGGTCATTTCGAGACCTCCGTTTTGACTACACCTCCAACAGAGCGCCTGCTGCACCGCGGAGATCTCGTTGATTGCCTGATGAGCTCGGCCCAAGAAATTAAGCTTGCGGCGGTTGTAGTTTTTGTTGCAAGGTCTCGAGATTACAGAACTGTGACGGAAATGCGAGACGCCGCACACCGTGGTAGTTACTTTCAGCTGCAGGAATGAGAGTTGGTAGTGATACTGGCATGAAGCCACTCCAAAAATGGCCACCGTGCACAAATCCTAACAATCCTAACTGTCCACAGGCACATGAGAGGATCGCTTCGCATGGTGGAGCATGTTGCAGGACATAATCCGTGCTCTTGATAAATAAGGGCGCCCCCCCCCCCCTTTATATTGATAGTAAAGCCTCATTATTTCAGAGGCCCCAGATGCCAGAAGGAGATTTCAATTGTAAATGACGTCCACGGAACTTTGATTGGGGTCCAAGCAAAATCAATATAAATTGAATTAGAATCCATATGGCCATATGAATCTTATTGAAATCGGAACCTTATATTCTTAGGGTTTGGGGATAATTTTCTTTAAATCCAGGTGGTTTTCGACCCAAAACCTGCCTCCGCCTTCCAAGTAGTCTTTGACCCCATAATTTGGCCCGAAGAAATTTCTTTACATCTAAGGGGTTTTATTAATCAAGAGCACGGATTAGCCCCTGCTGAATCTTCTGCAGGCCATTCTTCTACACTGTTCCTACAGAGGACATAGGACATTTGGATCCAGATCTTGTACTCCCCAGGCAACTTCACTAAACAATTTCAAGGGGGCACACGAAGAAGAAGAGTCACCCCGGAAAATCCCGCAGTATCCCATATGATTCTCCAACACGTGCTGGACAATATAAATGACCCAAAACCCTATTATTCCTGTTGTACTAGATAGCTTCAATCCCAGTCTGGGCCTCCTTCGGCGGGGCCTCTGCACCCCCTTGCCAAATCAGGACCTCAGTACAAAGCTCTTTGCAAAAGGTGCTCTTTTTTGAAAAGCGCTGGTAGCTCTGAGTCTCTCTCCAGGGGTCCATGTACGGATTGTACTGCAGATCAATCCCTGTGTGCATCTATTTGCAAAACTAAGTCTTGGACGGACACCCCAAAGGCCAGGTACAGGGAGCCGGCATCGTCTGGACCCTCAGTTGAGTGCTGGGCATCAGTGAAACCCCGCGCGGCTCCTTGCAACTTGTATTCTGCTATTTCCCATAGCTGAAGCCGATGACTTCCCGAGGCCAAAGCAAAGCTGCCATAGAGCAGCAGCGCGGAAGCTGAACACAAGGCGGGCCATGACTCCCCACCCCAGAAGAACAAGTTTTAGGCGAGGATGTCATGTCTCTCAGTGAAACACTTTGGTCCCAAGACCAGGCCTATGAGTCCCAGGGGGGAAGCGAAGCCGCCCAAAGCGTTGCGAGCCAGCACCCTCAGCCCAGGGAATTCTGCCCCATGATGCCATGATCCCTGAGTTGGGGGATGCGACCTGTGCCAATGCTTCCTGCGGCTCCGTGCTGTGCCGTTGACAAACATCTAGGGCCCTGGCCCGCCATCGAGGCGTCCTTCCACATTTTTCATCTACAATTGTATTTAGGCATGAACACGCCTTAGAGCTGCCAAAAAAGCAGGGTCCATGTGACTTCTGAAAGACCGGGCCTATTGGAAGCAGCTGCAGCGCTGTGAGGACGAGGCCTCAGGGAAAATGCTCGCCACGTCTTGGCAGGTCGGACTGCTATGGTATTGTGGGCCAGAATGCTTCTCATGTTGTGAACCTTCAAATCCTCAACTGTTTTGAAGTGCAACACGTTTCATGACCGCAGAGTCTTGGCTTCTGGCCGCAGACGCCGCCGATCTGAGGAGCGACAGCTAGTACGCTAAAGCTAAGCATGGTTTTGCACTAGGAGTCGCTAGCATCTTGCTTCCGCTTTATTTGAAAAAGCGATTTGTTCTGCGCAGCCTGAGATGCTCTTCACCACCCCGTGGATGACTCCAAACACAAAATCTCAAACTGCCGAGGCTTCGGCCAGGATGGGATTAGCTGGGAAAGCGAGGGCAGTTGGGTCGGCGAAGGGATCCGGCTGTGTCGACAAAGACCTGAGGACAGCCAAAGCCGCCAACTCGGAGACAGGAGACAAGGATTTGAAGCACCAGCTTCGAAGAAAGCTCGCGATTCTCCGCCGCTGAGCCCCCTGCGACTGACCCAGGAAGGGACGCAGCACAAATTTCACCACAACCTGAAGAGAAGCTGATTCCATTGGCACTTTGCATTTTTCAATTACAGCGTAGCGTAAAGCCCAGATTACACTTGAATCCTTATTTCCTTTTCTCACTCCGGCTTATGTGGGATGTTCCTTTTCATCTCCGGTGGTTGTTCATTGCTCGGCTGTCTGGTGAAGGCCACTGCTGCAAACAGGCTGCTCTATATCTCGGACTCAGGGTGATGCTGGCAAAAGCTGGTAGTTGATGTTGACTGCAGTATCCTGCAGGATGCAAGGTTGCATGCCAGGATGACACAGGTGATGTGCCAGGCCGAGGTTTTGCAATGGCTTGGCTGGACAAATGAGCTAAAGTCTCAATTCCAAGTACCCCCTACCCCTAGCAACCCCTATAATGTCCCCTGTATAACCCTCTTTAAGAAGTTTAGACCCTAGCTCAAATGAGGTCCTAGAACGAGACATGCAGCATTTGTCCTCTCGCAAATGGCTCGGATCACTGGCATCACTGCGTGTGGCCAGACTGGGCCAGGGCTCTCGTGGAAGGCACAGGCAAATGCCTGGTGAGCCCCTTCACTAGATAGAATATGGCCTTGGGTATATCATAATAAGATCCCCCTACACCCCATATTCTATCTACTTAAGGGGGACTATTCCTCCCATTAACTATGCATTTTACACTTTCTCCGAAATGCTTTTTGGACTTCAACTAAGTATACGGGTCAAGCTGACCTATGCTCAACGACTGAGGGCCTGCCGCCCTAGCAGCAAGGCTCTAGCCGCAATACCACACTGAGTGGCGTAGACAGGTAAGCATCCCTGAAGTGCAGCTGCGACAGCATACTTTGGGCATGGAGATTTGTCTGATGGACACGGCAAAGTGGACCTTCAAAGAAATCTCTGGTGCCCAGAAGTTTGCTCCAGCTACGCTGCGAACGCAAAAAAAAGGGCGGAATGTGCAACGCACACCGCTCAGAACTTGCACTGCAAAGCCTCGATTGCATCACCGCCTCAGTTGTACGTGTACTGTCTAGCCGAAGCCTTGGATCCATTATTTGGAGATGGTGTGAGTACTCAGTCTTTTAAATCCAGATCAGCCCTAGCCCTGCCAAAGCCCCTCACGCTCCAAGCGCTTCTTGGCTCCCCTGAAGTTGTCCAAGTGATACCTTGGCAGTTTGCAGATGCTCTCCGCTTGGTTTTTGGTAGCTTAAACATGCAGCGCAGAAGTCATCCCCCGCCCCTGCTCTACGTCTTCTATTCGTTGCAACATGTACCGTAAGACTCCCTCAGCTGCAGCACCTCTCTAGCAACCGATGGAGTCCACTTAGTAGAAAGAACAGCAACCTTTACAAAGTCACGGAAGGCTGCTGTTGCAAGCCAAACCATCAAGGTCGAATAATGTTGTGAGCTGTTGATGTGTTACATCTGTCTCTCTCTCTCTCCCCAGCTATAATGAGAACCCCGTGCTTCCAAGCTGCGCCAAGTACTCTTGTGGAAGTTGGAGGAGTGCCTGCGGCAAGGAATGGTTGGAGCTGCTTCGGCTATTCTAGGTTGCTGCGGAGGGCCTAGAAACCTCCCCTTAGCCAAGAGACCTGCTGTATCAAGCCTGCACAATGAATTGACCTGAATTCTGAAATGACCTGGTCACATCAAGCTTTTTAAATCCAAGCACAGGAAACAATGAACTGAAGCCAAACTCAAGCCTAGCCAGCTGTGATAGCTCAACGTTCCCTGATGCAAATTCACTTGCAGGACTTGCCTGCGCCCAAGTGTCGTCGCCCAGCAGCTTCTTCAGCTCCTCGGCAGCCTCTGGGGCCTCCGGGGCCTCGTGCTTGGCTTAGATGGCGCAATATGGGCGCAATAGAAATCCCCAGCTTCGAAACGGATTCTGCAGTGATCTGCTCCAAGCAATTTTTTGGATGGGAGCAAACTTCGGCCTCCCTGAGATCTGAGCTCCCAGCCGGCTTGCCAGTCTTCAGGACTTCACCCAGGAAAGACGGATCTAATGCCTAGAGACACATCAGGGCTCCTACAATCGAGGCTGGGAACAATCCAAACTACATGAAAAAGGCAGCTGGCCTCTGCTTTTGCAGAGGGATTTCGGCTTGCTGTGACACGTCATAAGCCCCTTTTGCCAATTCGTACTTATCATATCCTGACCAGAAGATGGCAAAACGATGTAAGCAGTGCAATGGCCTCATCCCGAAGTCCCTCAGAACCAAATGCTACCGTGGGCACCCAGCGAGCCACGCGAGCTGCCGCCGCGGGGTCCAGAGCCATCAGTGGCTGACCATGTTTTGCGTGCGCTGCGCGGCGAATGAAGTTGGAGCCTTGCCATCATAGGGCTTCACATAGACAATGTGCTACTATGTCATGCTAGACTATACGGTATTAGAACATAATGTATACTGTATTCTAGCAGAGCGTTGCAGAATTGCAAAAGCACTGCTGCAACCCTCGTGTCGGGCCTGCTCTGCGCGCCTGATGCGGCCTTGGTGGCGTTGCATTCAGCAGTTTCAGGCACAAAGCTGGCAGCTTGCAGCTTGCTGACTTGAGCTTAGGCATTGCGTGCCCGCTGAATTTTAACTGAGGAGACACATAAATCTGAATGCCAGCACATTTAAACGCAAACGCAGCTTGGGTTCCCTAGCAAATGGGCCATTCAACATTCAGTACGAATTCCAAAAACATTGTCCCTGTAGCATATCTCCTCAAAGCAAGCCCTGCAACTCCAGACCCACGTCCCAGTGCTGATGAAGCAACTGTGTTGTCAGCACCTCCATCGCATCGGCAGGAGCCAAGGAAAGAAGACCAGCAGCCTCCGACCAACTGGCGACAATTGAGTCATAGTCTTAACTCCTAGAACGCCCCCTTACTAACCCTGATAGAAGTCCCCTATATAACCCCCTTTAAGGAATTTAGACTGCAGCTCAATTGGCGAAACTAGGGCAACAGGACAACAAGCAGAAATTTTCCAAGGTAGTGCCTTGGTAGACTCAACCACGTCATGACCGCGGTCAGTCCGTGCGATGATAAGGACCTTTGTCTACGGGTGCCAAGTGCCAGGAAAATATTCTTACTATTACTATAGAATGGTCATTCTCATAATGACTATTCTTACGCTTACTAGATCTTACTATTATTATTCTTTTTATTGCTAGATATTACTACTATTGCTACAAGAACATCCACGGGATCCAACCTGAGAAGATCTGAGAAGGCACGCCCATGGCTGCTACTTTATCTGATTGAAGGATTCAAGTTATTCTCCCATTTCGACTTTTTGGGAAGGATCTCTCGAATTGCCAGGAGTCTGCGAAAGCTTGCCTATGTTTGTTTGTTCGGCTTCTCTCTGCTACCTCACGCCGGCTGATTGTGTTGCAGAGGCTTTCCTGGGGCGCTGACCCAGCCATCCCATTCGTGCTTGCGCCCTTCCGTGATCCTGGGCTGTTGAAGATCATTGTCTGGAATCCAACAGCAAGTCTGTAGATAGTAAGCGCGCTGTCCTGCGTTAGAAGGACGAAAATGTCGTGCAACTATGCAGGTTATGTATGCAACGCGTTCTACACTCTGACACATGTGTTGGAAGGAGAGGTGAAGAGCAAGTCCTCTTGGCAACTCACTCGAAATCATCCTTTTTGGCGAACTATATCGGGATAATGGAAAAGAAAACGGAAACTACCATAGTATATGGGGGATTATAAATAGGGATAATGGAAAAGAAAATGGTCCTGAGGCCTTTGCCTTGATGAGCTACCATAATTCAGACAGTAAGAGAGCAGTATTCAGACACCCCAAACCCCCTTAAAGTTTAGGGTTTAGGGCTTAGCCGACAAAATCTCCACGCAGTACGCAACACGATCCGAACACATCATCTCTTGCCCCAACTACTAGAAACACCATCCTTCATTGTTTAATAGTTCCCGCTATGCCATTCCAATTTATTACTGGCGGCCGAGCATCTGATGGCACCCAAACAATTTCAAAAGGCATGATCCTGACGACCCTCATACTTGTAGTTTCCATTTTCTTTTTCATTATCCGTATATAACCCCCCCCATATATCTATATATGTATATGTATATACATATATATGTATATATACGGGTGGTTGTCAAAACTATCGTCCCTTTTTGGGGTACCCTAAATATTAGGTGCCGTAATATAATAGGGACCCAGAAAGGGACCATAATTTTGACAACCACCCACATAGATATACATATAAGAATCAGCTCGAGTAGCTCCTTCTTCTTTTCAGGTAGGCCACCAGGCCAGCAGTCCTCTGGGTTTTAGGGTTTAAAAGGTAGGTTTGGGGCCGCATAAAAAACACATTTCTACGGCTTTATAGGATTCTATAGGGATTAAGAGGAATATAAACTAAGAAATATCTTCAAACCTACCCCTGTTTAGGGTTTAGGGTGAACCAGAATATGGGAACTTCTCAGCAAGGTTACGGGGACACATGGGGAAACCCTTATCAGAATGTCCCTGAGTCACTGCCCCCTTGCTGAGGCTGCTGGTATGAACTCCCTGGCTCTAGAAAAGCTTGCAGTCTTGCTGTTGAACTGGCTTGGCTGGTAGAATGCAACTTGATCACTACTGGAAGAGGTCCCTGCAGGCATGTACATATTCTTTGTGTAGATCAATGGTGTCCCCTTCAATAACCCGAAGCATCCAACATGAGTCTAGAAAGCCACCTAGACCTAAACTCGACCGGGAGTGTCCAATTCTCAGAATGCACCAACATGAAGATTGGACCCCATTCTGTGAAGGTCCATCACGACCACGTCTGCCTGATAGCCTGGGCGAATTGCATGTATTTTGGTGGATTTGCAAGGGCTCTGTTCGATTCATGTCAACTTTTTTCTACTTCCACTGGTTGCAGCGGTCTTGGGACTAAAGGGATGATATGGGAGCGCAGCCGGGTTGCAAGATGACACACCAATTGTGTGATCTATGCATGAGGCTAAGATTTCTCGCTGCAGTTTGCAAAATTCCCTGACATTCTGGCCATGCAAGGAAATCAGGTCGGCTTCTGCACTGCCCCGGAAGTGAACGCGATGTTCTGACCTGCTGAGCATCGCTGAGTCCAAAGCCAATGAAGTCCGCGCACATCTTGCAGCGCCACCTCAGCGTTGAGTTCATTGCAGTACTTGTGTGCCGCCGTGCGGATAGATTCTGGCAACGGAGCCCAGTACTCTCACAGCAAATTGCAAACACAGCTCGTGATTTGAATGTGAATTATCGCTGACGACCCTTCCCATCCCTGCTTGCAAACACATGCGAGCGCCGGATGTGGCATGCGATAGCTTGGCTCATGGCTGGTAGGTCAGCGGCCCTGCTTCCGCGCCGTTCAGAAACCAGAAGTCTACGTAGTCCATGGCGGCTTCACCTTGGACGGGCCATTCAGGAGAACAAGACGGTTTCTGCTGCCCAGAACGACCAATGCAGTGCTCTGGCACAGTTTTGCATCCGCCGGCCTTTCAAACAATCCAGTAGAGACGGTCCACACCGTTGGAATTTGTGGAAGTACTTTGACTTGCCTGTGAGGCCGTTTCATACTGTTCAGGTCCGAATGCAAGGGCACGGGGACGATCTAAACCTCCAGGAGTTCCTTGAAATGAGCCATCCTCGGAGATCTGGCGGCACAAGACATTGGGTGCCAGGTGCTCAAATGGATCTTTGGCAACAGCGTGCACGAAGTCCATGAAGGCCGGGGGCTCAGAGTCGCTGCTCATGAGACTTGCCTGTGATTCTTCCTCCTTCTCTTGAGGTACAAGTGGTGATACCGGTGTTGGCGTAGGTGGTTCCATGGGTGCATGCTTGATCGACGGCTCCTCACCGTACGTGAGGACGAGGAGCCCTAAAATCATGCCACCTATGCAGCTAAAATACCCAGCGAGTTTCCACCAGGGTTCTCCGTCCATCTCCTCGAGGACAATGACGGCGCTCAAGCTGTTTGACAGCACATTTGAGCCCTGGAAGACGGTGACCATAAACAAAGCTTCATATTGACGCATGCCCCTTGCCATGTAGGGGACGTTGGAAATGGCAAAGAATATGGCTCCGGCCAAGACGGCCCACGGAAGCCAATTTGACCACACTTGACAATCTCCATCACCAAGGCATTCTTTGGCAAAGACCGCAGCAACTCCTTACAGTCTGTGAGAAAAGGAGAGGTTGCCTTTGACATGGAAGGATGCTGTTTAAGTCAAACGCCAAAAACGGACCTTAGTATGACTTCGATGCTGCAAGCAAGTGGCGGGTGCACCACATATTGCCGGCAAGTGATCCAGCAATTGACCCCAGCGAGAAGCCACGGCAGACGGAGCCGTGTGGGCAGTGTGCGAGCACTCGCACGTTGACGAAAATCCAAAAAAAGAATATTATGCCATAGGCAAAGACACGCCACTGAATAAGAATGTCATGGGCACGGTCAAGTGTCCATTCCTCCGACTTTGTTTCTTTGAAGAACACGGAAAGAGTGGCTGTCACGAAGACAATTCCACTGCCAAGACATCGACGTCGAGTCAACTCTTCACCGAGTGTAATAGGGGCCACCCTGAGCTATCAGGGCGTGCTACAGAGCTGACTTATACTTTTGCCCTTCTTTCAACTGTTGCCAAGTCATAGAACAGAAGGTTGCTTGTGTCGGTGATAATGGTGGTCTTTGCGGTGATGGTGGTGGTGATGGTGCTGATGGTGGTGGTGGTGGTGGTCGTGGTTGTGCAAGTAGTAATGACATTCATAGTAATCATAACGCAGTAGCAGTAATGGCAGTGGGCGTAGTAGAAGTAGTTGCAGCAGAAGACGTAATGGTAGTGATTGTGGGGTACTAGTGGTAGCAGGAGTAACGAGGTAGACAAATCTTGTTCGAAAGTGTGTCAGCGGCTGCGTTTTGCGCTATTGCCGCTATTGCATGAATGCTTGCTTGGGTGGGATTCGGAAGATCACTGCTTCCATGGCAGGTTCATTACAGGTGAGTGCTTCGCTGATTTTCAGAGTTTGTTGTGCAATGCCAAGGACTTGTGGGCACCTCCAGATACGGAACCAAGACTTCAGCATGCTCAAAGGGCCCACAGTCCGCTATCTGAACTGCTGCTTCGGGGTCAGTGGCTCTAAAGCGGATATCTGGGTGGCATTCTACGTTAGGTAGTCCTTTCAGTACCGTGCCTGCAACCTTAGCATGCACTGATCGTCATAGGGAAGAAGTCCATAGTATGGTCAATGGTCTCTTGGGGTGAGGACCTCTTGAGGAAACCACAACTAACCCATATCCTTCTTTCTTGGTGAATAGCTTAGACATGCACATCCCTGGAACGCATTGCAGAGGCTTGTGGGACGTGTTCCACAATCCGGCAATGTGCACATCGATGAACACTGCACAATGCTGAAGATCAAAGCACTGCCAGCATTGCAGCAAAACACTGCGCGGTAGCACTACTAGTACAGAGGAAGCATTTGCTGTATATGTATGTGCAGTTCTGCGCTGCAGCTGCTGCTGGTGCCACCGCCCCAACCGCTCCTGCCGCCACCGCCACCATGGCAGCAGCACCAGCTCCAACACCTCCAGCACTACTGCCGCTGCCGCCGCTGCGACCCCCGCCACCGCCACCGCCGCCACAACTTCTTCCTCTGCAACGGCGATCGCTGCTCCTACTACTACCACTCCTGCTCCTGCTGCTTCTACTCCAGTGCCGGCAATATGAGTCATACAAGATGGTAGCCAAGCAGCAAGGAATTGATGATGATATTGAAGCCCGTGAACGGCGAGATGACCGACGCCGGTGCAAACGCATAGCCCGAAACATCCTGGGCTTTTGGGACAGTCTGGGAACTACGTGTCTGCTTACAAGGTACTCCTTTCAAACGTAACTGCCTGATGATGGTTTGTCCTTGTTACTAATAATGCTTTGAGCACTCACAAACATGCAAAGTGTTGTTCGACAACGGCAGCGCATCAAGTGCTGGTCCCAGCAAGACGTTCAGCAGGATACCGATTATGAAGCACGTCTTGCCTGAGCGCAAGTTTTTTCAGCGTGAGGTCTCCCAGATCCCCCCAGCCCGAGGATGAACACTGCTGCCATCTAGCATGAATCATCACCCAAAAGGATCGGAAAGGGACCCCTTTTTCGAGAATGCCATCCCTTCGTGGCTTGAAAATACAAGGCAGGCTCAGCACATTTCACTCGTGCTCTATAGCAAGACTCAAACCCAAACCTGCAGCTAAGCAGGGCCCCATCTTTCAGCATACCCTCCGAGCCTTCCAGCAGGAGCCCAGACATCTTCTTCAGTTCGGATGTCCTGATGAGGTGCATCCCTGCAGTGCCCACGAGAAGGCCAGCAAGGACCAACCCCACGCCGAGGATCCACATGGCTCTGGGTGTGCAGACGGGTGTCCCGTGATTTCCGAGCGCAGGGCTACGTCCTACTCTCCCTGCAGAAACAAAGCTGTGCTAGCTCTGAAGATGTATGCTGAGTCAATGCAGGCTTGGTTTTGTCTTGAAGCTTGCCCACTAGCGCATCGGCTGCTCACAGGCAAATATGTTTGCGAGGAATACCCTGAGCCAATCTGGTGGGCAAATCGGACAAATACAGCGCTCAAGTAAGGCATGCCCATCACGTAGTCAAGAAAGCTTGGCACCTGCAGATCATCAAGCCAAAGCTGTAACGGCCTAGCGCACGGTCTAACTATTTGAGAAGAGTGGCGACCATCTTTCGCTCTGGTGTAGGGGCAACTTCCTGGACAGCCATGGCCTCGCCACCGCCACTCCTGTGTTCAGAAAAGCTAGATCAAAGCTCCTAAGGTCCTAAGCCCTCATGCTTCACCCATAAGAAGCTGTTTGCAACTTGAACTTGACAGCTCGACTGACTTCGCCTCAACTTCCTCACTGGCAATTTTGTTGCTGGCCAGGAAGCGGTCCACGCAGTCCTTGGCGACAGCAACGGTGGATATTGGGTTTGCTGCGGGTAAGGTCCTGAAATTTGGCCTTTCTTTGAAACAAACGACAGGGGTCTGATGAAAAGGATGCTTGGGTTGCGCGTCGCTTGGTGCTGTTTCATGTCCTGATTCGATGAAACTTGTGCCTATAGGGACAACAAAAGCTTACCCATCAGACGATGCACGAAGGGTGACACAGGTACATCTGCAAGAGCTGCAAGCAGCCTGAGAAAGTATCCGCCGCTGGGCAATTTTTTGCAGGTAGGCGTAGCGGGCCAGCAGTTCTAAGCAGGCCTCGCCTACATCAGGTCAAGACCGCATTCAAGCTGATTAAAAGGACGGAGGTGCCAGTTGCGAAGTGACCACCCTGTCAGAAATGTCAAGAACTCCAAGCATGTCCCTGCTGACGTCTGAAAGATGCTGGAAAATACCCCGAGAGCCAGCATCATCAGCATCAAAGGCGTCCATTTCCAATCTTGAACAGGCCCCCTCAGGAGGTTGAAGGAGACACCCGGAAACCATCCTTTTGTGTGGTTTGAGCTCCGGCCAGCTCTGTTCAGCATAAGACTGAATCGCCTTCAAGCCACGTTGTCTGCATAGGTCCCGCAGGAGATGGTCATCATGCACTTGCAGAGCTTGTCTACGCGCGGGTCAACGAGGGCATAATTACCTGGGCATGTTATCTATAGACAGTGTGATTTGCTGTAAGTCAAGACAGCTCTCTTAGCATAAGCAGTCTACCAACAATTTTGGAACGTCTGAAGCTCCGTCAGGTGACGTACTGCGTTGATGTCGCAGGGCTTGGCCACCAAAGCGAAGGGCTCTTCGCGCAGTAGGGCTTCCTTCGACAGGCATCTGTCGATGCTAGACATGCCAGGCAGGCCGATTTGCAAGTTGGTGTCAGGACTACACCGCCACAGGCACCAAGCATCTTGGATTTTTGGGATTGCAGTCCGTGCACACCAGTCCTCCAGTGACTTCAGGGGGGCCACGGGGCCGTAGCGGGAGCCCCGCCCCTCGAAGACCTGCAAAGGGTGCTAAGCAACGATGCTGCACTTTTTCGAATGATCGCAGCTCGTAGAGGGTGCTAGTGAGTATTAGCAACTTGACGGGGAAGCTGTGCAGTACGCAAGTGGCTGACCTCAAAAAGGGGGCTCACGTCCTCTGTTCTACGCGCAGCTTACTGGAATGGGCTGCGCCAATTGGCCCTGAAGCTCAACAACCTCAATAGCGCGCGCCTCTGCCTTGGAAAAGCTGAGCTTGGACCCTTGTGTGGCCACATCGCTGTACATGGCACATGCCTCAACCACAGCGACTGCAGGCTTTTCAGCTGTTGACTGTAGACCAACTCAACCCACATGCACATGGACGGGTTTTGGAAACTTTGAGGGGCAGCCTTGACGTGGAGGACGAACTTCACCTTGCTGCCGCATGTGCACATGGGCATGAACCCCTGCAGATCGACCTTTCTTGCGCACTTCACGTGGACATATATGTATATACACATATGATACATGTGGAGTTCTGACATGACTGATGGTGCGCTCGCCTGGCCGGACTCGATCATGTGCGTGGCTAGGGAGGTCAGCCCACCCGCAGCAGCCGCCTTGAAGCCTTTGCCAAGCAGTGCCAACGCTTTTAGTATTTTCCCAGACACCGGGGAGAATCAAATACACTTGGCAGAGGGCTCCTGGCCACTACAATCATCTGCACACACGAGATCGACAGCCACAGGATCACAGCAGGGGTCAGGTCTCTCCAGAGTCTGTTCGCTGGCCGACAGCAATCGAAGCTGAGATACGGGTCTCGGGATCGGTCGCAAAGCCTTTCTGTATGGACTTTGCCTTCCAAGCAGGCGAGCTAGGGTCAGGCATCCTGAATGAGACCTTGCACCCTCAACACATTCCCCTCAGCTGCGCCCGTGACAAGCACGTGACGGCAGAGCAATGACATGGGTACGTTTCTGTAGGTGGAGCAATGGCATCACGATGTCGCAGTTGCCTGCCTGCCCGACAAATGCTTCCACCCCAGAGGAAGGCCTCCAGCCTCAGCTTGAAGGCGGTGCATTAGGAAAGTATAAACCTGATCAGTCTGAAGGAAGGTGAGCTTGTAGCATGCAGGTTGCCAAGCAACGTGTTCTTGCAGTCGTGAAACTTCAGACCTCCAGCTACCTTTGCTCCTGGGTCTGTCTGCGAACTTTCTGCACCCAGGACCTGAAGAGTGATGATACGCTTAAGAACTCCCTTCTTTGCTGCCGTGGCGCCTGGCATGCCGCCTACCTGTCTTGCAACCCCAAGACATCAGGATCCTTTAAAGGTGTTGAAGTATGGAATGAAAAGCTGAAGATGTTGGAAACTGGATGGCTTTGCTTCACTACTTTACTCGTCCTGCCCCATCCGCAAAAACAGCCACAAGCCAAAATGCCCACACTGCCTGCGCACCCGGACACGCCGCAAAAGCTTTGGCGGCGAGTTCCGCGGGTGCCTCCTGCAGGGTTGAGAAACGCGAGGTGGAAGGGGGGTCTGTTGAGAATGCCGGCCCCCCGGTGCCAAGACCAAAAACACATGAAGCGACAACTGCAAAGTTCGTACATTTCGTACACGATGCCTCTCTCCTCCCTAACTGGCTAAGCACTCTGCGCACCTTCAGGAACACAGGCCTCATGCGCCGCTTCGGGGGAAGGACCTGCCATGCTCAACCCAAACACCCAAATGCTCCATACCTTTGATGCACCCCTCCAATTAAGTACGCTTTGGGGACATCCGCTTCAAGAATAAAGCCCGCATGCTCTGCCTCCTGTGGAATGTCTTGCGACCCCATTGCATTCCTCCAGGGCTGGCCTCCATCTTGATGAAATCTGACCCTACGATGCTCTCGCAGATCCCGCACCTGTAGCAGCTCTGTTGCAGGCCTTTGCGTACCTTCATGTTGCTTGTTCAGCTTCAAGTCATGCCAAGGTTTCATGAATTGCAAACGGGGCTGTTGGAGCTAGTTCCAACCAAGCCTAGATGCGCACCTGGACATCTATCTGAGTGAAACACCCGTGCCATGAGAGGTGAATGATTGATCACTAGCCTGCAGCCGTATAACGTTTTGTTCTGCTGAGCTCCTGGCCCCATGCAATTGCCAGTGGACACCACCTCCTTCAAAGCATTCTTATAGGACCGTTGCAAGAGGCAAACTCCAAGCAGCTTTCACCTAAGGTCCTGCAGGGTCTTTGGGGCGGCAACTTTCGAGGCATCATACCTTGCTGCATGCTAGCTGGCAAAAAGGCATGGACAAAATTAGCACACTATCCAGCTCCGAAGTTGCGCTGATGAACTGAGACAAAGATAATCGCCAATTGAGCCCGCGGACTTGCCAGCCAGCATTGCCAGATCTTCAATGTCAGCCATGGCGACTAGATTTGCGTGTTTGTTCTGATTGTTCTGCAGATGGCTTCGTGCCCAATCATGGTTCCCTGTGGAATGGGGGCTGCCTATATCAAGGAATCAGTTTATGTGTGTAGATTCAGTGACATACCCAGACTTCTACTGACTGTACCGGTGTTTGGTGTTCGAAATACTTGGGGTGATAGTCTTGGGCTTCCGAGGAATTGAAGGTTTCTTCTCCTCCATGCGCACCAGGGCTGGGGCTGGGGCTGTGAGCACAATGCTTGCAGGATTTGGAGGCTTTGCTGGGCCCCTATACAGGACTTGCGCCATAGTAGAACATCACGTTCATGTACTCCCCATTGCAGATACAGTTCAAAAAATCAGGGTCCCTACAGTAAGGAGTATACTATCTTGGGGTTTACAGTAGGACCTACTATCCATAGAGATCCTCATCTCGTTAACATATGGGTGGTTGATATTTAGGGTACCCAAAAAGGGACCATCATTTTGACAACCACCCATATGCAAGATCTTCCCCTGACTTTGCTCGGGCCGGTCCGTGCCGGGCCCCATGGCCAGGCCGGCGGCCACGAAGCCCAAAGAGACCTCAAGGGATCCCAGGCTTCCCGATAGGGGTTTATATGGGTTTAGGGTTTAGGGTTTAAGGTTTAGGGTTTAGGGTTTAAGGTTTAGGGTTTAGGGTTGTATAAGGATAATGGAAAAGAAAATGGAAACTACTATCTTATTATAGGAGTTTATATAGGGGTTATATAGGGATAATGGAGAATCAAATGGAAACTACTATGATGTATAGGGGTTATAGAGGGATAATGGGAACAATGGAAACTAATGTTTAGGGTTTAGGGCTTAGAGCTTTGGGGATTAGGGTTGGAAACCAAGACTTCGTTAGTGGGCTGCAATTTGAAAGCAGCAATGGAACAGAACATTGAACCTACTACAGGGTTGAGGGGGTTGAAAAGTAGGACTACAAAAAGGATTTCGCAATGGAAAAGAAAATGGAAACTAGTCTGGGGTCAAGGGTGGACAGGAGGATTGTGTAGGGATTGCAAGGGGCTGTGAAGAAACGAAACTACACCATATCCTGATTCCAAACGATTTTGCATTTTTTCACTACGCTATAGGCACCACTTCGTCCCGTGCGCTTTGCGCATCCCCTGAACAGCGCCCATTTTTTGTCTGAATTTCTGGCCGATGCTGGATGGAGGAAATCTTGCACCATTTAGGATCCCAAGTATGCTACAAGTATTGTCGGGGTCTGTGGTATGTAGGGGGGTGCAAGATTTCCTCCATCAACAAGACCTGGCCCGCAATACTAATGCTGAGAAGAACAAACTCATTTCGAGCGACTTCAACAGTGTCTGCCTTGGATAGCTGAGCGCCAAGCAATCAGCCCCGCAATTGGTGCGGCCAGTGACATATTAATCTCTGCCTGGGGATCGGGATGCCAGAGTTAAGCAAATCCAAGGGACAATGGAAAAGGAAATGGAAGCTAGTATAGTGTATTGGGGTTAAATAGGGATAATGGAAAACAAGCTGGAAGCTACTATGGTATACTGGGGTTTTATAGGGACAAAGGAAAAGAACATGGAAGCTAATATAGTATATTGGGATTATATAAGGGTAAAGAAACAAGAATGGAAGCTACTATGGTATACTGGGGTTATGTAGGGATAAAAGAAAAGAGAATGGAAGCTACTATAGTACATTGGGGTAATTCAGGGATACAAGAAAGGAAAATGGAAGCTGCTATAATATATTGGGCTTCGTAAGCCTGGTTAACGTGTACCAAAGCAATCTGCTCTCATGAGAATGTATCAGCAAAGGCAGCCAACAAAGTGAGGCAGTGGGGACCTCCGCAGCCAACGCACAAACACATAGCTGCAAGGAATCTTACTACACAGTATTTTCTTAGAAAACAAGCTCATTTTGCTTGAGTGCCGCCTTCCTGTGCCTTAAAGAGGGTGTATGTCATGACTGGTTAATGTCATGACCACGGCCATTGACGAACATCTTGCACCAACTCATCAGTAGAGCTCAACCCTGCCAACTGACAATCCTACCAAAGGCCCACCACTGTTCTTTTTCAGTTTGGTTCTTTTGGGGGCCCCAGAAGAAGACCCGCAGTTTGACGAACTCTGCCTCACGATTCGGCGCAGTGGACAACCGCCGTGTCACAGCGCCGAGGCAACCAATAGACCTGGCGATCAAAGTAGTGGATGTTGCGAGGGGTTTCACTGAAGCTGCGTGCCATCCACGTTATCTTTTTTCTTTTTTTGGGGGGCCCTGTTTCCTCTTCTGGACACCGTTGCCATGATTCAAGCGGTGCTGACACCAGCTGAATATGGCTAGTCACGTGGCTTGTGAATTCTTTTGGGGGTGTATGGGCAGGACCAACTATCAACGGCTACAGATCGGCTGCTGCGCTTCTGGAAAGTCTGATCAGTTGAGCTGCAAGGGTAGGTAGAACGGCATTGCCAATCACTAGGGCCGGCATGCCCCCGGCTACTTCCATCGAAATTGCTCAGCACAGTGATGTACAGTGCAGTATACACTCTTGACATGTAGAGTTCAACTGCACAAGTTTTAACGCGTTCTTCATGCAACCTCAGGAGCTCATAATCGCCCTATCTGTGATGTCTTAGTAGCACTGCTGGTGCCAACTCGCATGGTCAAGTTTAGTACTCTCCAAGCCCTTGCTGGGCATACCTCAGCTCAAAACCCTGGCCCCAGGGTCCTCAGCTCAAGCCCAAGTTAATGGCCCCACTGTTGCCTTTGCGGCTAGATCCCAACTCTCAGCCATGCAGCCTTGCACCCTCTTTGAGATTCCATGGCTCCGGACCCGATGGGCAGCGCCGGCAACAGGTAGGGCGGGGTGAGCTGGACCCTGGCATGCAAGCTTTCAGGATCTATGTTTCTCCTCTGTTCTTTGGCTCCCCAGGTCCTGCTTCCAGGCCTTCTGTCGATTCAGAAATTCTTTCCCCTCTAGTCCTCCTCGCTTTGTCATGAAGGTAATTCTGACAACTTCTCATGCACAGCGGACCCGTAGTTGGCAGCGACTGTCCGGCGAGCAGTCTCCTTGCGGAGTGTAATCCAATGCTCTGGCGAAACTTCCACCAGCGCTTCGCAGTGTGCGGTAAGGGACTTAGGGCGGTGGCCTTAACCTTCCAAGTGTAACAAGGCTTGTACTTTGGGCCTCCGGGCTTGGGCCGCAGAATTAAAGGTCAAGCTACATTCCAGATGAGGGTTCACTATGCTAAGGGACATACGCAACCCTGCAGCACCATTATACGCCCTTCCGCCTATTGACTGTCGCCCTCATTGCAGAAACCTGATAGTGTCCACAAATAATTGGATTTGGTAGTTTCCCAAAATAGGGCAACCCCAACATAGACCCCAAAATATTGTAATCCTCTTATCATGGGTACTCCTAAAATGGTACCCCTAATTTTGGGAAACCCCTATCTGGATACTGTAACCCCAATACTCCACGTACTCTCGGATGCATGCTTTCCCACTAGTCGCGCATGCACTGAGCTGATCAGCCTCTGAGCCCCAGAATCACACGGTTTAGGGTTTAGGGTTTACTAATTTGCCAATCCTACACTATGGGGTACTATAATGGGTTATATAGGGGGTAATATAGGGATAATGGAAAATAAAATGGAAACTACTATAATGGGTTATATGGGGTAATACAAATAATACTAAATAACAAGAGTAATGAACGACATATGATAAATAATCATAATCAATAACAGTAATGATACCAACAATAACAAAAATAATAGCGTACAAATCATAATGGGCCACGAGAGCGGCATGTGCTTCCCTAACATCAAGACCGAATAAACTTTGGGGAATGCAATTTCACCACGTCCTGGGCCGCCATGGTCGCCAGAATGATGCCGGCGACAGGTATCAGCTGAATTCAGGGACACAAGGACACAGAGGGCGGGGCTTGAGGACGCGCTGATAGAATTTTCGATGCAACCCATATTTGACAGTCAGGCAGCTTGGATCAGAAGCTTCTGCTAGCTCCGCTTGGCGGAGCATGCTGCGTCACGCAGCTAGTACTCGTACTTGCTGTTACTGCATGCGAAACATCACTTGTGCCAAATAGAATCCAACGTCAAGAGTGAAGATCTCTGGCCTTCTCGAAAGCTCCGGCCAACTCTGTCACATCACTTTGGTTCTGGCAAGCTGATGGAATTCAATGTCAGGGGGTGTTTGGGCAGAAAGCTGCTTCAGCGCACGCTTGTGTTAAATAGAATAGCTGCAGCTATACCAACTGAATTCTTCACTGAGAATGGATTGATTTATGGGCAATTGCTCCAGAAGACGGCTGCCTTCTATATAGCGGGCAGCTACTTCATCTGAACCTGAAGAAGCTGAGAGCCACCCCAAGTCGCGTCGGTGGTGCAGCTACGCCTGGGCCCACAGCGACGACCTGGGTTCGGAGATGGAAAATACGAAGCGAAGACACCTACACAGCTTGCTTGGTTTCAGCTCCAGGCAAATCTTCAAGGCAACAAGATGCCAATACCTAGGACCTGGGACTCTGGCTGCCAGAGGCGTGGAGAGGGAGGCAAAGAACGTGGCGCCCAGCAAGAGCGCCCAAACGATCCACTGCCACCTTCGCTTCCACATACGCAACCGCAAACACAACAAGAAAACTACCAATATCGACAACAACACAAACCACTTCACAGCATTGTGATGCCTACTGCTCCCATGGTTCGCAAACTTGCATCAACTATCCCCCGGTGTCAAACATGCTCAGCTTAGGTTGATGGCCAGAACTGACTAACTTGTTCGTCTGTACCATCCGTAGCTGGACTCCGTACGCTCTAACGCGACTCCCCCGGCGGAACCCCAAAAACTTGGAAGAGCAGTCACTTGCCCTATGTGAGCGCGTCATGTGTCATGGATGTCCTACACCTTGGGACTTTTCGGCACGAACAAACCTCAGCTCCTGGCGATTCCATCTCCTCCTCCGGAAG